CCATGAAGAGAGCCCTACAGCATACTTACAGAGGAGCCAACATACTATACATCTAAGAGTGCTCAGTATCACCAAAGTAAAAATCCAAGCTCTTCCAGATCTTGGATACATCAGCTTCAGGGTGGGTACTGAGCAACAGCAGCTGCTGTCACCATCTCAAGACAACTAGGAGATGCCTAACTCACACCATACTTCAAAGCTCTCCTCCCTCAGTGTCCAAGGTCTGACTATCCCAGAGAGGGCAGCAGTAGGCCTGCTGGGACTGCAAAATTGTGTCTTGGAGGCAGGCATGCCTTTGGACATGAGAGAGAAACTTCTGCAGCTGCACACTGCAAAATCTCAGGGAGCTCTCCTGCTCCACCGCTGCAAAGGCAAGGTCACTCACTCTTGAGAAGACCTGCAGAAAGCGTCTTCCTCCATGTTAGCAGGACGCAATGAGGAACAGGCCCATCAGGCACTGCTCCATGATTAACAAATCAAACCAGTAGAAACAGGTTTCAGTAGGATGTTCACTGTACACCAGTTCCAACACCAGAGAAGGGACTTCTGACTCATTCCCACCCGGCACCCCACCTGGGGAAGGTTCACGTAACAAGGTTTTATATTTCCTCATATAAAAGACATGAAGAAAGCTATCAGCACACTTAGGTAAGCAACTGGACAGGGCACCAGCGATTACTCTGTATTGGCAATTGCACACCTTCACTATGTGGCGGGGAGGTATGAGTTCACAGGAAGAGTATTTCCAACACCCTGGATGTGTTAGTGTGGCACACCCTGGAATAGGGTGTTACTTTCTAATGTCTTCATAAAAGTATTTTCTTTATTAGTTGCCTCCTAGGAGCACACAGATGGCAGCAGCGACACAAGAGGTATTCCCTCCAAACCCTGGGCAAAGCTGAGTAGAAGCTTAAAGAAAAAGGTAGGGTTTGGATTTTTATTGTTTTTTAAACATCATCTCGAGGGAACAGCTTTGCTGTCAGAAGGGAAAAAACCCTCAAATGGACAGGAGAGCAAATGAACTATCAGTTGCAACAACAGAGATAAGGCCCTAAAAAACAACAGTAAAGGTCCTGTTATGATTTGATTAAACGTGGGAGTGAATATTTGGGGCAAAATAACCTAGATGCTGCCAGCCCATCCCAAAGTACTTTCTCTTTCATTGCATACACTCACCAGTACTAGCACGGCCTTTGAAAGATAAGACTACGCTGTGCAGGTGAGGGTACGCACGCACACGTGGGTCACTCCACAGCCCTCTGTGCCACTTTTCCCGTACAGCAAGTTTTAAGCAACCACATCCAACTCCATCAACTTTCAAATCAGTACTCTGCACACATCAGGAATTGTGGCCACATAACACAGGCATTTACAACAGGCTGAACCTGGGCCGTTTAGAGTCAGAGCAGAAAACCTCTGTGCTTGAGTTGATGAATCCTCAAAAACGCTTTTAATAGTTTTGAGCTATATAGCCCTGGAAGGTACCACAAGAAGGGTCAGACAACACCCGAGGGCCACAGTGCTCAACCCCCCAGACAGTGTCTTCAACGCCTTTCAGTTATCACAGAATACGTTTGAGACATGGTCGCCAGCACCCCTGGGACACATCTTCCCACGCAGGTACCTCTGCAGAGGAATAAGGGGCGTTCCTCTTGACGAGCAGCAGCACAGTGAAGTCTAATTCTGCAGGATACCAACATGCCCTGTATCTTCCAAATTCAGATCATAAAACAGTATTTTCCAGAGGCTACTAAGGGAGACATTTATCAAGGTAAAGATTACAGTGCTGCCTAAGCCAAAACTATCAGTAACATTTGTCATCCGCTGGAGGGTATGGATGATACACACTCACTTTCAGAGTAGAAATTTAGTATTAAGGATATCGTAGTACCAGAAACAATATAAAACTAGTTCAGATAGAAAGCTGGTACGACCTTCCTGTAAGTATCAAGTGTGAACTGTGCACCTGAGGAAAGCAAAGGACACCAAAGCAGTATGTCCATCTGTTGTGATGGTTTACCTTGGATGCTTGTGACTCTCTCTCACACCAAGACAGGGCACTATCAGGACAGTAATTGCGATCTGCTCTCCATTCTATACACATGTGAAGACCTCTTTTGTTTTAGGAGCCAGAAACACATTAGCCATTTGGTTTTAATTACATGAAAATTGAATGGAATGCTACATTAACTTTAGCTTTTA